CCCACCATGCTCTCTGAGGACATCCCCCCAGTGACCTAAGGACCTTTCACAAAGCTCCATCTTTTAAAGGCCCATACCATTACCCTGGGGACCAAGTACCCAGCAATGAACATTACAAAGAAAGAAGACAAGAGTCTTCTGGACTCTTAGGAGTATCCTCTTTGTCAAAAGCAATTTCACAAGTTTCAGTAGAAATTATAGTTCAGGAAGCTGTTGATACGCTTCCAAAATTAGAATAAATATAGGCATGACCCATGAAGGAATAACAATCTCAATGTGACACAGTCCTAGGAAAGGACAACTTGCAAGAGATTTTGAAGGTCACATCATTGGACAGAGCCTCTTCTCAGTTAAGCACCAGTGGTGCTTCAAATATGCTAAGTACTTGAGAAAGAAACCCTGATCAAGCTAACTTCATGGCAAATCTCTAGATTTAACCAATTTTACATGTAGGGAGCAATGCCTCTAACTTCTTGATGGGACATTTTTCCTAAGTAAGTTTAAGTTCATAGAGTTTTAGATATCTGGTTTAGATTGATTGACATTTTTACAAAGCAAAAATAAAGATATTTCTCCATTTTTTTCCTTCACTCAGATCCCATGTATCTTTGCTATGATTTTTGGCAACACAGAGTCCTACATATGCTAATGGAACTTGCCTAAAATATCTGCTCTAAGGGCTAAAGATTGACTTGTTTTCTAAATGGAGTAGCATCTTTTGTGTTTTACAAATTCACTGTACTTTGTAAAAAGCAAGTCATGTCAGAGGATGTTGTTGAACTAATAAATCAGACATTTACTCATTCCAGTGAACGTCCATACCATAGTTGCTGAAGGAGATCTAGCTCACCCATGCACCAAGAACCCTTCTGGCTGAGACAGACAGAATAAGAAATAATTGAGGAAATTTTTTTGCTGTTACCTTGAAGATTTGAACTTGTAAATAAGAATTTAATTCATTTGAACTTCAACTTAGTTTGACTTTAACATATGAGAGGATTTAATTTTTGTAGTTTTGTTTCTCCCCAAGGAATTTTCCATGGAAGAGGAGTTACATTCAAATATGGGACATCTCTTCATAGCTACAATGTTATTATTGGAATTTATGCATTATATTATTTGATACTCAATGTGCCATTTAATTTCACTACTGAATCTCTGGTAGACTATGCTTGGTAATACAACATAAAATGGGGAATTATTTTCCAGTCCAGGTTACAGCATGGTCTTGAAATTTATTTAATTAACAAATTATTTTCACCCATTTTGCAAGCTCTTGGGGACAAAAATCTAAATTTTGCTCTACTGGTCCTGAGAGGACCTGTAAAGGAGTGACTGGTATTAGGAAGATGCCCATGTCAGGGACTGCCTGTGTCAGTCATTTTTTATTATGATGATGAAACACCAGACACAAGCTATTTATGCAAAAGGAGCTTATTTTGCTGAAAGTTTTGGAAGGTGAAAGTCTAGACAATATAACATAAGTTCTATGGTGAGGGCGATCACTTGGCTACATCACCTTATGACATGGAAAGCAATGACCCAAGCATGTGTGGGAGCAAGCAAGTGCATACATCTCTGACCAGGAGTAGAGAGAGATACTGTGGCTCCACTATCTCCAGTAGCCTATTGACCTCCCACTAGTCCCCATCTCTTAAAGGTCCACACCATTTTCCAGTACTGCCACTTAGGGAACCAACCTTCCCTATACATGAACTTTGTGAGGATAGAAGCTATATTCAAGCCATAATGTTCTGTTATCTAGCTGGTCAGGTTTGTGTTCAGACCCATATCTTCACTATAAACAAATGGTTATATATCATGTGTTGAAAATATAAAGATCTGGAGAATAATGTGTCAGAAAGTAATCTTCTAATCCTCAAAATTCGGTTAATGTAGAGGAGAATAATAATATATGTTTCATTGCACTCACTCCTAGTATATGATATGAATTTTGCAGTTTTGGAGAATTTTGAGGATTCATGAATGAGAAATGCATAATCCAGTCCCTTCCTACTCCTTCTTCTTTAGTGCCAGTTTCCAGAAGCAAGTGTGCCATTCTGTTCTGCTTGTCCGTGCTGTAAACTTGAAATGGAATTGATGTAGTCTGGTGTCACCAGACTCTATTTCTAGTGCTTAGGTTAGGCACTATCATCTATCTATCTATTACATTCCCCACTATTTGTTTTACATGCCATCTGTTTTTTTAAAGACCCTTTTTCTTCACTGGCCTGAATTTGAATGAAGAAGTGTGGCTAAGAAAAATATCACCCATATGATTGTTATAATCTAAAAATACACTTTAGGAAATACAAATGTTCTGAATTTGAGGGAATGGATAACTAAGAATACCACAAGTGACTGATTAAAGTGATGTGGAAATTATTCAGCAGTGCTTAAGGTGTCTGTAACTCTTACCTCTAGCTCTGAGACTGTTCTGGTTTCATTAATCTAGCCTAGTTGCACCTAATCCATTACACTGTATCACAGAATGTTTACTTTCTACATTTCCAGCCCATTAACATCTCTAACACAACATGGACTTTTATAGTCATCCTTAGTCTCGTGACTGGTAAGTACATTTGGTCAAATACTCCTGATATTTCTAGGTTCAGAAAGTAGAACCATAGAAAGTAGATTTGAGATCATCAGGTCCTGGTAACGTGGTTGATGGCCACCCACAGATAATGACATCTTGTAGCCTCTGTGTGCCATATGGAAATGAGTCAATACCCTAAGCATATTGGCATCTCCATTTCAAAAAATTTCTACTGAGAGAGAAGATTGTGAGGAATATGCCACCTGTGTTCAAGTATTTTGAAGATGTCTACGGAAAGCTCTTATTCCAAGAAGTTCCAGGAAGCAAAGGAAGACCAAATGGTAGAAATCACAAGCTGGAATACTTTGGTTTATTTTAAAAATAAATTTCAATAATTACACCTCTCCTACCATGAAATAAGCTGCCTCAGTAATACTACACTGCCTTGGGTCACCTCATTCCTACCCAGGTTACAAAATCAGACCAAATCCAATTGAACTTTGAGAATCTATGATTGTATAAGTACTTTTCCCAAAAGCAAAACACATGGAAATTTAAATTCAAGTTTTGGAAGAGAAACATTTAATATATTTTATCTTATTATACATTTCCCCTAAATTACAAAGTCAACAGCTGCAAATATATTCTGCTACAAAGCTTTCTGTAAGAAATATCTCTATAAGAAAATACATCTCATTAACATTTCCTGTAAATAAATTACTTCAAATAATAATTTTGAAAGGATGACTATAAGGGAAATAATGTGGAAGCCAGATTGTAAATGAAATTAACATATAGGAAATGTTTGACAGAAATGTTCCATTGTCATGTCACCAAGCTTGTACCACCTGTTTGCACAAATTTTGGCTCTTGAATAAACTAGCCTATAGTGTTTTTTTCTTGAAGACATGTATGGAAAACATAAATCATAATCATCCTAGTAAACGTATGTGAGAAGCTGGAATTTTAATAGATATAAAGGTCTATATTCAATTTCTACAAGAAGAAATTTGAATTTGAGGTCTCGGAGTTTAAGTAAAAGAAAAGGAGTGAGTTTCAGTCTATAAAAATTTAAAATAACAACAATAAGATAATTTTTTCTTTTATATTCTAGACATAATATTTGGAACTGAGTTAAATAAAAAAGTAGTAAAGTGGTTTTAAAAATTTAGAACCTGTGGTTTCTACAGATTAGCAATACATAGATTTTACAAATTATTACATTTTCAACCTCAATGGCTGCAGAAAACAGAAACTCTATCTTTAGTAATAAACTAGCTGAGGCAGAGAGAGAATAGTGCAGAAAAATCAGATGGTCCCATCAGCCAGTAGACAAACTGGGCAATGGAACTCCTATACCACCTACCTTAGGAGTCCAAATTGTGAGACCTCCTCATATTATCATTATTTTACACCTCAAAAATATAAAATAAGTATTTTGAGGCTAGGAAGGGCAGTGACCCCACATCTCATCTGCATAGAAAACATTATGACAGCAAATTCCATGGAGAACTTCCAGTTACGTTGTGGAGGTTCTGGTTTCAAAGATGAAAGATCAGCTTGTGCATCAGATACATGATCCTAGTGTTGTTAAAACCTGGAAAATCAACAGAGCTTTCCCCATTTCCTTGCTGTGCTTCTGTTCAGTACAAATATCACTCAAGTCTCTATTATTGCTTCACCCTACTTCATAATATGTAAAAAATAAGTGTATTTACCAGTCTACTTCTGCCAAAATATAGGGTATGTCAAAGCTTTTCAAAATAATGATCTCCTGGTTAGCTTTGTTTCCCACATATTTTGGATATCTTTCAATTTTTTTGGCAATCTGGAAACTCTACTCTGCGCGTGAATTGCACTGTACTAGTCACAATTCATGAGTATAGTTTGGAAAAGAAAATGTATTCAGGGTTGGAATCCCATATGATTAGCAGAAATACAATGTTATTCCTTTAGCATCTGTTTTTATCTTATGTGAGTTATTATAAATTACAGGTGAGAATAAAAATTTTGAAAAAGTTGTAAATATGCAGTTGAAGAAAAGTAAACATGTTTTCTTCTAACAGCCTTGCTAGATTTGCCTTTATCTTGGAATTACATGGAAAATATTGACTGTTTTTTTCTTATCTACAAAGACCTTTAATTGAGCTGTCAAAGTGGAACTCCAACTTAACCATGCAAATTTACTATGCTCTATGTTTTCACTTCCTGTGTTTCAATTCTTCATATTTCAGAGTTTATATCAAGGTAACTTTGAATAGATATATGGCTTTTAGGTAATTTGTAGACGCAACCACCAAGCTGAAGGAAATTCCTCCTCCAGCACAACCTAAATTCTGGGTAGATCACATGGTATTCGTCAGTACTTCCCACTGTGTGCTTTATTTTAATAACAGCATCTTCACAAATGTGTACATTATTTACATAAACTAGTTGCATAATGGAAACACTCTAGTTGTTCCTGCATTTGTCACCCATTCTAATCCATTCGGTTCTCCTTTTCTTCGTTTTCCTGTGGTCTATATTCTTATCACATTCCTTACTGGAATGCATAGCCACCCCTCTGCATTCAAACCTTATATTCCACCATGCCATAATGCATTAAATACACAAATTCACAGTCTACTAGTAATGATTTTCCCCAGTGGTAATCAGATTTTCTGACACACATGGAGTCTGGCTTTGAAGAGAATAGGTAGCATCTTTCCATACTTTGCAGGACAAGCCCTTTGCACAGTCACATCGCTGGAAAATTTCTAGCCCATGAGAGCCCTTCTTGCGCTGTTTGGTACAGACTTCCCCCTGATGCAGCACTGGCTTGCAGATTTTGGTCCAGAAGTGACGAGCACAGCAAAATCCTTCAATGCAGTCTGATGATCGCAGGCATGGGTCTCCTTCATGCCCTACCAAGAAAATAACCAAAACGTGACCAAAAATATTGCCGTGACACTTCAGAAAAAATTCTAACTGCAATCAGAAAATGCTGTCACTCATATTACCTTCTATGATGCTACCATTTATAATGAAAAGTCTTGGATTCCCACCAAATGATTTTCCCTTTAATTATGTAAATTCAGTATTGTCTATTACCATTATTTATCATCTGAATATCAAATTTAATGAATATGCTTCATATTCTCTTTACTTTCTCATGGTCTGCTTCTAGATATTCCCTGATCATTATTTTATTCTCCTAGGTGAGTGAAAAATAAAATGATTGATTTAAAACCAATTAATTTGATACCTTTTCAGTAGTTCTAAACAAATCACTAATACAAGGAGAAAATCAAAATTCTCAAGAATTGCTAAGACTGTATATCATAGTCCAGCCAGGAAAATAGAAACTCTGAATATTCAAAATATAACTTAATTAATGCAGAGACTTGGTCACACAGGCGGTGGTTATGCTAAGAATTACCAGAGGATGGTGAAAAGTTGTAGGAAGTTACTACTGCATTTAGGCTGAAGGACCTAAAGGAGGTGATGGAGTTGGGTTCAAAAGCCAAGGCTGGAATCCTCACAGGCCTTTCTAGAAGGAGTTAATGCCACACAGAGACACAGCCCTGTTAGAAACACTACCTGAGTAGTGTTTCTCAGGTAGCAAGAGAATATGTTGGTTAAATCCAGCCAGATTCATCTGACAGGGAGCAGAGAAAATGCAATCTATAAAGGTCTGTAAAACAGAATAGAGCAAAGTTGAGGGTAAGTTGGTTGAGCAGCATCTAAGCATGCATGATAAGAACATGTGAAATGCAAATCTGGGTACTTTATCCAGCAAAAAAAAAAAAAAGATTAGATGACCAAGTAGCTCCCACACATCATGATTGGGCTCATGTCTATTCTATATAAAGCAGGGATGGCAAACTTTTCTGCAAAGTGTTGGATTGTAAAAATGCAAAATTGCATATATGTTAGGGTTTTGAAGCTTATATTGCAAAAATCAGCTACTAATACAGCTTAAGTGAATGGGCAAGTCTAAGTTCCAATAAGACATTATTTACAAAGACAGAAAGTAGGAACGCTTTGGCTCACAGGCCATATGTGCCAACCCCTGGTCTAAAGGCTTATTTGTTATCTCATGTAGCTAGTTCTACTATGAAATTTGGACATAATTCACTCTCCATCCAACATAAGATTTCTTTCGACTCGCCATCAGAAAATTGCATATGTAATTACCTAAAAATAATTTGTAAATTTCAAACTGTAAAAAAAAAAACATGTAATGACAAATGATTATTATTTGGCAAAGTAGAAATAGGAAATATGAGAAAACAATTCAGGGCTTTGGTAAGTGTTAAAATTTAAGGCAACAGAAGAGGAATCACTTGTCATAGTAAGCACTACCCATGTGGCCATTAGCAATCCAAGCCAAACTAATGGGTCATCAGATATTCTCCAGGATAGCAGCTCCACAGAACTTGAAAATGTGGGAAAATAATTTTGTGGACAGATAGGCTATGTTTAAAGGTACCAAGGTTTTCTCATTACTGGACTTCTCAGGGCCTTCACTATACACATGTTAATTGTAAATTTCTTAAAAATGGGGAGATGCATTATTACAAAAGTCTTATGAACACAGGGAACTGTTATTCATGTAACATCTTGAAAGAGGAGTTCTGTATTTCATGGATACACACTTGGGGAAGGCCGCCTTAAAAAAAATAAAAGTACTTTGTGCTTTCACATTTTTACTATGAGTTATCAGGTTTCAATAACTTCATGCTTTCCAAGTTTGCTATTAATAGTAAGGTTTCTGAAATTTTTGATACAAAGAAGAGGATTGTATGGCCATACATAATCCTATGATAAACCAACAATTTTTGGTAGGTTGGCTTATGAATAATGTGTCATTTGGTTGTTCAGTGAAATAATATTTCTGAATCTGAATCAGAAATAAAATTTCTGAATAAAATTTCAGTGACTCCTGAACTTACTGATTTAATCATGGGGCAGCAAAGATTTCCATTTGTTTTCAGAATATTTTATTCCTTGATGTGTTTGTATAGAAGATTTCATCTAAATTTCATGTGAAAAGAAAGGTCTGTTAATTGGAGAACATCATTCTGAGTGAGGTTAGCCTGGCCCAAAAGACCAAAAATCGTATGTTCTCCCTCATATGCAGACATTAGATCAAGGGTAAACACAACAAGGGGATTGGACTTTGAGCACATGATAAAAGCGAGAGCACACAAGGGAGGGGTGAGGATAGGTAAGACACCTAAAAAACTAGCTAGCATTTGTTGCCCTTAATGCAGAGAAACTAAAGCAGATACCTTAAAAGCAACTGAGGTCAATAGGAGAAGGGGACCAGGAACTAGAGAAAAGGTGAGATCAAAAAGAATTAACCTAGAAGGTAACACACACGCACAGGAAATCAATGTGAGTCAATGCCCTGTATGGCTATCCTTATCTCAACCAGCAAAAACCCTTGTTCCTTCCTATTATTGCTTATACTCTCTCTACAAAAAAATTAGAAATAAAGGCAAAATAGTTTCTGCTGGGTAGTGAAGGGTAAGGAGGGGTAAAGGAGGGAGTGTTGGGAGAGTAAGGCAGGGGGTGGGGGGAAGGGGGGAGAAATGACATAAATATTGTATGCACATATGAAGAAAATAAAAATTAAAAAAAAGAAAGGCCTGCTTAGAAAATGTTATAATGGACCAGGGTACTGCAACTCTAACAATTTAAGATCTCTAAGAAAACTCTAGCATCCTCAAAATTAAGAATTGATGAATTCAGTTTAAATCTAACCATTACAGTATCTTATTTGTATTTTTTCCGAAACCAATAGAATCAATTATCTTTACTTTTCTGTTACTTTATAAAACAAGAAAATACAAACATAGAAGTACAAGTACTACCTTTTATATGTGACATCTTTGTGTGTGGTCTTCCTAGATTCTGCCATCCCAAGTCATGGTTTGAATAATGACCATGGTTTCGATCTCTGTGCCGAGTGCCATCCAAGGCTGGAATGTGAGGCGTCAGGATGCTCTCAGTGACAGGGATGCAGATGCCTGGAGATGGAGATATAAGCAGTCAGACTTTTTCAGTTCTCTAAACTGTGGTAAATACTCTCACATGAGGTATGAATGAAGTATTTTTATGAGCCTACTATCTATCTATCTATCTATCTATCTATCTATCTATCTATCCATTCATAATTTACTTATTTATTGAGATTGAGTATTGAATACTTTGGTTCTGGAGTCAGATTTCATTGATCTGAATCTTATTTCTTTCAACACCAAGAAAAAATAAAAAATAGGAATAAAAACTGAATTAATATTACTGAATTATTGTAAATGTAAGTGAAGTGCTTAGAATGGTCATAGTAAACTATTTAATTAATGTTAGCTATTGAGTTTTAAAATCCTCCAACCAGACCTCCATTCTCAGGATCCAAGGTTGTTTATTCACCAACAGTAAATATTAGTCTACACTGTACATGTCTCTCGTGCTCTGAGGTCATCTTCCTTTCATGTCCTGTCCAAGGTACTCACAGCAGGTTTACACGCCAAGGTCAGAGCAGACGTAGCAATATGAGCCTGACTGTGCTATTTTTGTGTGAGTTTCTAACTACCTTCTGCAATTATTGTCACCATGCATTGTCTGTTGTCATCACTTCATTATTAATGCAGAATTTTCTGTCTATAGATTTATTGAGATCAGGTGAAGCCAAACTGGAGGACAGAATTCTGTCTGTGTTTGGAGAAAGCAATCACCCCATCATCAGATGAGGGTGCCTTGGCACATCTTGAATATTAGAACTGTAGTATAAAATAGCTATGAAACTGGAACAAGGACTCGGAGTTTTATTTCTGAGCCATAGTGGGTTCCTTTCTTTGGTTTTTTTCATGTATGTATGCATTATGTATTTAGCAGAATAGAACATCCAGCTATTTAATGCAATACTTCAGTTATTTGCAGTTATCTTAGGCCAGTGTAAATTATAAAATACAGAAGTTTGTCAGAGTCCAAGAAAATTAAGATTTGGGGGATATTCTCATACTACATAAGCCAAGATCCAATCACTCCCAATCCTAATGGGCGCTAAGTTGTGAAACAGCCTTCCTACATGAGATAGAAAAAGGCCTGTGAACACTTAGCAAGATCTCTCACCATTATTGCAGCGAGTACCAGGGCAACACATGCCATCTCTGTGGCAGCGTTTCTTTTTCCTCCGACACACCATGCAGGCTGATGATCCTTGGTGGGGACTGTGACAGTATCTCCCAACTTCACATTCCTTATCACTGCTGCAAGGATAGACCTGTCACCAAGTGGAACAACACAAAAAACAAAGGATGAGGTCCTGTTATACGTATGACATTCTAGGAAATCATGATGGAAACTAAGTCACAGCTGCCTGCCCCCCAAATGAAACTACACCATTATAATAGTATTCTGAATATAGACCATCCGTAATGACACTTACTTAACTGAGGACTTTATAAATATTGATTACTGATTGTGACAAAGATGAAGTTGACAGCATTCATGAATTTTTGCTGACCCAACTTTGGAGTTAGGATTTACAGTTTGTGTTGACTGGTGGCCACTCCATTTTTTTATCCTGATGGAGGAAGGTGAGGTAAAATAACAAAGGGCTGGGCTTGAAGATAAGACCTATCTCTTACTCACTTATGAAACAAATATTTTAAGAGTGACTCCTCTCAGTTCCCACCTGTGAAAAGCAAGGAGGAAAAACACTTCCTGAATAGTATGAGGAATGAAATGTTTGGCACAAATAAAGCAAGGAGCAGCATCTTCACTCTTGCTGCTTCCTCTGAGCAGCAGCGTGTTCTGGGCAGTGAGGGAGATGCTGGGCTCCAGTCTTATCAGCAGTCCTTGCTCCTTGCAAACCACAAGAGTCCTGCAAGGCTATGACTTCAGTTTATATAGAAAAGACTCCACACATTTCTCTAGCTAGAGTTTTATGTTCTGAAAGCTACTTAGTCACTGTCCAATATTATCGCAGAATAAAAATACCTACTCCAGTTAAGTATTCTTTGCTTCTTGGATGTTTCAGAAACATTTAGAATGTTCCTGATTTTAGAGACAGCTCTCACACCACACATCAAACTTACTCATATGTTGAAGCAGGGAAACTTACATAGGAGCCTTTTTTACTGGATTTTTTTCTAATTTTCAGAATAATACAAGATTTTTTTAAATTGAAAACTACAAACTATATTTTTTAAAAGCTCTATAGTTTTTAAATGAGCATAAATTATGAGTATGAAACTATGCATAAAAATCTTTGTGACTTTCAGATAATTAGTGTGTTTGGGGTGTTTTCCTTATGAAATGATATTTGATGTCCTAACCCAGCATGCACTGCTTATTCCTTTTCTCCTTCTCTCATTCTCTTTCCCACTAGCCAATCCTAACATCTTTTCTCCTTCTGCCCAGCCCAAGTATGTGTAACACATTCAGCCCACACATTTTCCATCAATGTCTGATCATCTTCACAGACGAAGAAGATAGAAAGATGAAGTTTCTGTGTGAGTCTGGAGAAAACAGAATATTTCACCAGCAGCACAATGTGTTGTTTACCCTTGAAAGAATTACAAAGCAAAATCACTAATTTCAAATTGAAAGTGATTTGAAAGGATTTCGCAGTGATAATGTTTAATGCACAGATTCTAACTGGAGCCAAAAAACCTATAAGATGAATTTACATGTTATTTTCCACCCTGCATTTTCATCATTAGGCTTTAGGGAATCTGAATGAAGTTGAATTCAGAATAGTCGGCCATTTTTTAAGAACCCAAGACTGATGGAAACAAAACAAATGTCACTTCCTGCCTTACCACACTCTTTCCCCCAGGCACTTTACCCCCTTCATATTTAAACCCATTAATTTTCATTGAAACACAATTCACATGTTTCTGATTCATTTACATCTATTTCATCAAATTGTTTTGCAAGAAACATTTGATGTCTTACAAGTTTCTTTCCTTCCTCAAAAATAGGACATGTCCTTTCAACGGAAATAATAAGTGCCTCCTAAAACATCATGTGCTATTTACAACTCAAACAATAAACCCTTAAATGATTCTGAATATAGTATAATACTTGGTTTCATTGCTAAAAACACAGGCTAAATGTGTAGAAAGCAAATTGTTTGTTAAACATAGCAGTTTAGGTAGAAAATGGTGGAAGGTATGTCCATTTTCCCATTCTTATTGATGAGAAATAGAAAATAGTGAAATGGCAAATAATTGGTGATAATGATATTAGAAAAAGTGAAATACACAGTAGTCCTGTATTCGGATTGGACTACAGTAAAATTCCCATAATTTAATTTTTAAGATGGAAATTCATTTTATCTAAGGCAAAATGTATTAGAGGATATGTAGTTTTATTATGTTCTAACAAATCTTTCAATTAAGCTAAAGTAGAAATGATACAGGCAAAAAAAATACTTAGATGTTTTAAAAATATGTAAATTATGAATATTGTGAACTTGTATTTGGTATTAAATCCTGACACATAAATTCCAGGAAGAATATTTTCAGAATTAAGAAAATAAACTTTAATCATTTATTTTTTATATGCAAAGTTATATTACATGGCTTCTAGTTTGCTTACAAAACTCTTGGCTCCAATAAACAACCTTTATACTAGTGAACAAAATCAAGAAGGAATTATACAAATTGATTGAAACAAGTGTGAGGGAATGCAAGTGGTATTTGGAGACAAGCCTCGCCTTCTTAAATCAAAGCTCCAAGAACAGATTTCTTCATCCATAAAGCTTTTTGTGGCATAACCATTGGCAAGCAAACAGAAGATGAGAAAATATGGATCCAACCCATTAATAAAAATTCCCAATTCTAGTGTTTTCAGCAATACTGCATTATTTTTAGTAAGTAAATGGCATTTTCAACTCAAAAATGAGGGCTCTTCAGCAAGACATTTTTTATGCCTACATTAATTTAGGACTGGTATTGCAGTAGGAAAGCAAGAGAGACAGCAAGGCAGGCACTTGGCTAACAGTATCTATGAGATATTATGAAGAAGGCAATGGCAATGGATGGATTGCCAGTAAGAGTTGTATACAAAAATAAAAAAGCCATTCAGAAACTTTCACATGGAAAAATATTTTCCATTTACTTTGGCTTCCAAAGGTTGTTACTTGGTCCCATTTGATGATACGTTTGTAATAAATAAAAAGTGACCTTTATGCCAAGAGTGGTCAGACACACCTACAATCTCAGTACTATGGAAGTAGGGGAAGAGGGATAGTGAGTTTGATGCCAACCTTGACAACATAACAAGACCATGTCTAAAAAACAAACAAGAACAAAAACTCCCAAGGGCTAAGGGTGTAGCTCAGTAATAGAATACTCGATTAGCATATTCAAGGTTCTATGTTTGATCCTCTGCACTAAAAAAAGTAAAAGAAAAAAGAAAAAACAGTGAGTTTGAGTACCTAAATCTAAGTTTTCCCTTCAAGAAAATCAATAATGTACTTATCTAGTATTTGTTTCAAAAGTGAATAAAAGGACTGATTTTTAGAGCTTCTATGGGAATTATTAAAGTGAATTTTTATAGCTCTGTTAGTAGACTAGATAACTCCTTTTTATCTGAAGATCAATGCTAGTGTTCGTGGAAGAATGAAAATTAAGTGAAAGAATTAGGCCGACAACTTCCTACATCTGTCCCTACTAAAAAGTTCCATATTGATTCAGAAATTTGATTTTGTGAGTATCCAGGAATGATTCATGCATAATCATTTATTACCCAGGCTCAGTCACAGTTAGGAGATAAGTTAATTTGGGGCCCCTATGATTGGCCATAAATTAAGAATGTTCGAGGCTGTCCAGGATCAGGTCAAAACACAAAGACATTTGTCCAGCACCCCTTCTAAGCTAAAAATAGAGTGCTTTCCACAAATAGCAGTGCTAGTGATCATTATAACCATGACATGAGCTAAAAAAGAAAGAACACATTGAACACAGCTTGAAGATCAAGTCTATCAGAAATTAGCCTTTCTGACTTAAGTCCATTTCCTGCTGCTGGTATGGAGTCATTATTTACAATTTTAGCAATGAAATGAAGAGAGGTTAAGTAACTTCTGAAAACATATAGTGTGTTCACTGATAGAGAAGTTATGGATTTTGAGCCCTGCCTTGGCTTTTAAACTTCCCTGTAAGGTGACATGACTGAAAGTATGTCATAGTGAGGGTTTAATGCACACATAGACAAGTTGATTCATTGGTGACCTATGTGTTGAATTTAGAGATTAAAAAAATAAAGTTGGTCACATCCCTTTCTAATACCAACAGCACGTCCTGCTGCAGCTGTTGGAAAGACAGATTACTGACAAAGTTGTAAACAACATTTTCTCATTCCATTTCTTGACAAGAATTTTATGTCCTTTTAAACTCAATGTAAATCATAGTTATAAACAGAAGCCCATCGTGCAAATAATAATAATTAAATAATGTTCTAATGAGCAGAGTAAAATGAAGTATTGTCAAAGCATCTTATTTGAACTAATTGAGCCTTTATTTCCCCCATTATTCTCAAAACTTCATGGACAAAGGGACTATTAATTCAAGGCTTACATTTAGGATTGAGTTTATTCTTATTTTTTAAAAACTGCCCATCCCTTAGAAAACACAAATGCAAGTATGAAGAAATCTGACCCATCTCTAAGAACAATGAAATGAGGAAAAGTGTTTCAGGTAACTTGGCAAAGCCAATCACTGAATAGAACTTTGGCCATAACCAAAACCTTAGTTTAACTCCCAAGTTTTCAGAATAATGATATTGTTCCTGTTTAACAAGGAGGAGGAAAAAACAGAAAAGAGAAACATCACACAGAGCTCATGTGGGATGGCCACCCATCCGGATTCTTGCAAGACCGTCCTAGTTTTATTGTTGTTGTTGCTTTACAGTCCTTTGTCCCCGCAAGCACTGTTTGTAACAATCTCGGAAGTTTGCTGGAGCCAGAAAAACGTCATCAGCTGGGCAGGCAGAAGAAAGCCTGCAGGGAACAACCCAGCTGTGTGAATGAAAAACATTTGGGTGGATAGAAGGAGGTAACAGCAAAGGGCTGGTGATGGGAACATAGTTGAGGTCTCTGGGTGCAGAGCAGAAAGGTTAGCAGTTACGTTTGGGAAACCAGATCAGACTGGCTTGCCAGTCTGAATCCTTACAGAAAAAAATAATTTCCTTTGGCATGATATCCCACATAGCAAATACATATTTCTGTGAATACACAAGACATGCGACTTAAGGTGGCCATTTAAAAATCAAACATTAAAATTGCC